GGACATTTTATTCACAACCTCATGTTTAACACAGTTTTTGCCTTTGATTACCAAGAAAATGGTGGTAAAAGAGGGAGAGAGCAGCCTGTCATGAGGGCAAAGGCAAAGGTGGGTAAGGGCAGCTTACCAGCTCAGCAGAACGACTGATTGGGGCAAGAGAGTAGCTGCAATTCAAGGAAATTATTTTTTGTTTTCTTTGCCTTTGCCCCACTCTTTAATTCTCAGGACACATGCAAGCCATTTAGCTAGAGATTTTTACCAATTTTGGCTAAATTTGTCCATTTCACGGAAGTGTACTCTACTTGAGATAACGGCAAAATAAGGATGAAGAATCAAATAAATGTAAAAGCCTTTAAAAAAAAAAAAGATGGCAGAATGTCAGAAGAAGAAAACAGTAAATCAGGGCACACAAAAAGAGAAGGGAGCTTTTGTCTTGTTTTGTTTTTCCACAGAAACTAGTATTTACAGACCATGGGACTGTGAGAAAAATGGAGCAAAGAAAGATTAAGAAATATCAAAATAACTGGGCTCAGGTGAATTTGACATAGCATTATTGCTGTCCTTCTCATAAGTGTTTTTGGAGGTTTTAGAGACAGTGGTTTTAAGCTTTCTTTACCACATATCATGGATAATCTATCTTTGCAAATGTAGAACAGGCAATGCCACCCTTACTGACACCTTGTGGGATACATGCATTTTAATGAGAAATCGGCTTTTTATACACAAACAAAAGTAGCAGTCAGGCTGATCTCAACATTCCTGTTCTCTCAGCAAGGAATTATTTTCCCCAAGACTAAAATGAGCATTTAGAGGCACCCTGGTGAGCAGTGCACAGTGAGTTCTCCATCACAGCTTGCTGGCTTTGCTGCTGGTGTCGCAGCAGAGCAAACTCATTTGCCTGGTCACATGGAAATTGTCCCTTTATCCTGCCTGGATAAAGCTTCACAGGCAGAGCTTTCCATCCATCTCAATAAACAAATGCTGCAGTGCTTCAGCCATATGGTGGAACAACTGTTAGCTTGCAGAGGAGAAAAGAGCTCCACGCCATCCAGTCTCCATCCATAAGCATCTTCTGGGTTTATTTGTGTTCATAACCAATGTTATATTTTATTTCTTTTGCAGCAGCATGTGTGATTGAGGTCTCTTTGCTCCAGGAGTTGCCTTAAGATGGTGAGGAGCAAATCTAGCCTGGAAGAGGTCATGGTCAACATGGGCAAGCAGCACTGTAAGAGAGGCAGGGGCAGCAGAAACATGACGTGGTACAGGTACAGCCTCCAAGTTTTACCAGTTTTACCAGGCTCCCTTTTCCCACCAGCCTCTTCTCCTGTTATTCCATCAGCTCTTGTCATAGGCAACAATTTTCAAAGTTGTTTTTTTTAAAGAAAAAAGTCTAAGTGGTGAAACTTGGCATTGGAAGAATTAGCTGGGATTAGCATGTTCCTGCTGGAAGGAACTGTGGATCTGACTGACAGCTCTGGGTTTATGTATTAAACACATATAATGCCAATAGCTGAGAAGCATATTTGAGGGGAAAGTGAATGAAGCAATTCTGTTTTCTTGGCAGACAGGATTTGTTGGAAATGTTTTGATGATCAGATTAAAACTTGTGAGGCTCCACACTGTCACAAAAAGAAGTGATAGATTTAAGAAGGGGCAGGGCTAACGTGGTTGCATCCAACAGATTATTTACACAGGAACATGCATGCCTTAATGCAAGCTTGCTTTTCAGAAGGTAATTTTTTCAGGATACCATTCTATCACATTATATACAGCCCCTAAAGTGGAATTAGGAAGTGTGACATTTATTCAGATGAAGGCAGGCAGTCTGTTTTAAGCAGTCATCTCTTCCCCTGTGACTCCCAGGCAACCTTTAAATAATTTTAGTTCTTCCCTTCATGTTAAAGGCTCATTATCCTTTACAGAAATTCTTCAGAAGTCTTCTCATCCCAAGCACCAGGAGTCATTTCTCAAGACAGCACTAGATGCCTTGTTCCAGATCTCTCATAACTTTCTAATATTGTGTGTCTTAGTGAATATGGAATTTGGGAACTACTAATCCTTGAATCACAAGAAGAGAAAAATTCACTGGTCATGATTTTTATGTCCATTCCCTGAAAAGAAAGGGAGCAGGATAATAGCTGCTAAATGAAAATTTTCTGCCCTGTGGTTCCTGATTCAGCATTGATGCTGGCAGCTTGCTCTTTTCACATTTCTGATGGTATTTCTTTTCTCTTTTCTTTTCTTTTCTTTTCTTTTTTCTTTTTCTTTTTCTTTGCACTCCCTTCTCATGCAATCTCCCTTCAACTAAGAATTTGGATCATCTCCTCTGACACGAAGGTGTCACTGAACAAACACTGAGACACTGAATAAATGTATATTTGGAATGATTACAATTTCCCCCTTAGCACTAAGAGTCTTGTTAAGCAAGTCAAGGTGGTTTATAGCTTGACACAGGTTTTTACTAAGAAAAAAAATCCATTCATTTTAGAGGTAGCAAGTAATGGAAATAGATTAAATCAATTTTCATCCTGCCCACTCCTGAACGACTGAAACAAAAAAAACCTCCTACTCTCTTTTGACAACAAAGGTCAACATCTTTTTTGTTTACATACAGCTGACAATGGAAATTCTGGAGGAGTAAAGCATCAGCTCATTTAAGAGATTTTTTAATAAGATCTGTGAAAGGTAAAACTTTATCCAGCAGTGTTACTAACAGAGTAGGTAAAAACTTCATCAGACAGGGAGGAGAAGAATCTCCTGTGCACAAGTGGGTTTATTTCCAAGTTCAGTGATACCATCAGTGGTTAGCACCTGCATGCATGAGGTATCTGTGGCACAAGGAACAAGAATTAGGTGTAAAGGGACTGCTGCCATGTTTTTCTTTCTGAGGTCCAGTCTAATTTCATGATCAGTGACCAAATCTAGGCCACTCTGCTTTTTCTATCAGATTTGAGCTACTGCTCTTGGATAAGCCATAAACAGACTTAAGGAAGGTGGGAAGGCAATTTGTCACAAGGAAGCCACAAAAACATGCATCAGTGATAACCCTTGTTCATGGTTTGGAAGCTGTTCCTTACTTACCAACTCTGTCACCCAGAAGCAATTGCATGGTCTCACCCTCTGCCTCTGCCTAAAGAAGGCATTTAGGGTGACCTTGTGGAGAAGAATCAACTAATCAAGAATACCATGAGTTTCATGAAGGAAGACCAATGTTTTTTATCTAGAGGAGGACTAAACTTGAGGACCAAGGTCCAGGAGCAGGATCCTGACTAACCACACAGAAAAAGGAAACAGTGAATGACGAGAGCGATTAAAGTCAAATCCAAGCCCTCACTTTGGAGTCAGTCCACCTGATCAGGTGCAAATATTATGAGCCACAACCACACCACCATAAGAGGGGATCCAGCCATAATGCAGCTCTTTCACTTGAGTATCTTAAGGATATCTCTTGTCCTTAAGGAGTGTTTGATGGAAGCTCAAGCTCTGCCCCTTCCACACAGACCCCAGCACCCTCCCAGTGCTCTGCAGTGGACTGGTGTCAGTGTGGGTGTGTGAGGTCCACAGGCTGCTCCCTGCTATCTCAGAGCCAGAGGGGTTTTCATTAGATTCAAACAGCAGCTGGCTCCCCAGGGAAGCTCCTGCTCTTATTTGATAAGGGATGCTCTTTTATCACACATGAAACTGCATGCAGTGATCAGACAGGCAGCGTGCACGGCTGCCAAGCAGAGGGAAGCTGGCTCTGGTGGAATATTTACAGCAGTGCCTCGCTCCTGCAAGTGAAGATTGGCCCAAAAATGGCCAGTTCTGCAAACCACAGCAGCTGGAACTTCTACCAGCCCACAGAAAAAATGTCCAAATAATATATTTGTTGGAGGGATCATCATGTTGTTTTTTAGAAGATAAAGTCACTATGGTAAATTAGAGTGGAGGGGGCATCTGAGATATTGGGGCTTGCAAATGTTTGTCACTCTTAAACTAACTTAGTTATTAATTCTCAACAACAAACAACACCCCTCATCCTAAACAGTAATTGTCTAAAGGGCACTCTCCAACAGAGAATAAATTCCATTTTCCTTCCTTTCTGGAAAAAAAAAATCTTTTTACTTTCAAGGGCAAAACTTTTTCAAGGTAATTGGCATCCCAGAACTTCAAAGCATTCCGTAAATCTTCAAAAACCCTACAAACATGAAAGTACATAGTGTGGCCACCTCCTTCAATACTGGTCTGACAGGTCAACCAGGAACATATGGAACGCTGATGTGTCAACAGTCTCTATTTTTCCTCTAGTGAGAGAAATTATATTATCTCTACATCTTTTTTTTTCCATTATATTTCCTCTGTTTTCTAAACTGTGTTGATGTTTCAAGGAATTATAGCTAAGACGAACTTGAAAACCGGACTGCTTTTGTCTTTTGTGCCTGGAAAGTACAGGTAGGTTGAGCTTGTGCATTTAGATGGATTTTCTGAAAATTACCTGGCTAAGTGAAAATAACTACTGTGGCTGTATCTATAAAATCTTAGGGTATGTTGTAATATCTTGTGATATCTACTTATAGCAATGGTACCTACAGTTTCCATCTATGAAACATTGAGAATTATTTAAGTATCTTTTTAATCCACATTTCCTTCAACTTCTGAGATTTATGACAATTGCTGTGGGTATTTGTCCTTTGTTTTTTTGGGGGTTTTTTTTTGGTTTTTTTTTTTTTTTTTTTTGTACTCCTGAAAAACTTTCTTATTTTCCCTTCATGACTCAGGGATAGCTTTCAGACCTGGTAAAAATTTGCTTTTCTTCCTCTACCTAACAAAGGTTTTTATTAAACATCCTAACTTCGAGGTGCTACCACACGCAACTGAAAGCCAAAATTAAATCAAAACCCAACAAATCCAACCTATCCCCTCCCAACCCAGTTCCCTTCCCTCCAAACTAAGGATGCATTAAGCCTTTTTTTTCTCTCAATGGCAATATCTGGATCACAGAGAAGCGTTTCAGTTCTTACTTTTAACAGTGAGGTACATGGACTTGCTGACGTCTGCTCCCACATCATTGCTGACCTTGCAGAGGTAGTATCCACTGTCTTCTTCCAGCACGTGTTTGATCAGCAAGGAGCCGTTTGTGAGCAGCTGGATCCGACCGTTCAGCGCGATCGGCTGGAACTGGGGAACCCCGGCACCTGCAGCAAGAAACCCGTGGAGAAAGGTTAAAAAGCACCTCGTGATTTTATTTTTAACAAGGCACAAGACACATCTTCCTGTTCGTAGAGGCTCAGTGCAATGAAAATGGCCTTTGATATCACCAGAAGGAACAGGATGGTTCCTTATTGTCTTAGGCTGGGGTGCGTGGTCTGTCACCATCTGTCAGAGCTGGGGCAGTTCTCTGCTGTTCTTGGGGCAGTTTTTTCTTTATCTCTCCCACAGCCAATCCTCCCTCCAGGAGATCTCTGCTGTCCATGGCCAGGGAGTGTCCCTGCAGGGCTGATCAAATTCCATCATCCCATGGGGAGATGCTCCGCCCAGGGCAGGAGCCAAGCATTCCTACCTGGATACAATCTGAGCCTGGAACAGCACAGCAGCCTTTGCCCACTGCATTCCCAGAGGAGCAGCTTTCTCCTGCCCTGCATTCCCAGAGGAAGAGCAGGCCCATCTCCAGCAGCCCTGGAGCTCCAGAGGAAAACTCCAGCCTTGTGCAGGATCCCTGCTCCAGCAGAACCACAGCTAGCACTGCAGGAGGGCTGAGCCCCCATGGGATGGGACTGTGCCACCACCCTGACCCACAGGGGGACAGGGCATGTTCTGACTCTGGCAATGGTTTTTCTTTTTGTACTATTACATTTGTATTTCTTTTTAATTTTCCTAATAAGGTACTGTTATTTCTATTCTCATATCTTTGCCTGAGAGCCCTTTAATTTCAAAATTATAATAATTCAGAGGGAGGGGTTTACATTTTCCATTTCAGGGGAGGCTCCCACCTTCCTTAGCAGACCTGCCTGCTCAAACCAAGGCAGTTATCCAAACTGAATTAATTGCAAGAAAAGAAGGAATGCAACAGCAGCAATAATCTGCCCATATTAAAGGGGCAAAAGGAGCACCAAGCAGAAGAACCAGGAAGGGGGAGAGAGGAAATGAAGATTTTCAGCCCTTTCATGGGTGAAAAGGCACATTTGTTGTACATTTAGAGGCTGATGAATTATTGACAATTACAGCTGAACAGTCATGGCAGTATGCATCCCTAATGCAAACAGCAAATGAATTTCTTATGACTGAGAGGATGTCTGCTGTAGTAAACATGGCACACTCAGGGGACCTCTAGGCCCTTGTTTGTGAAACCCTGGATAACATGGAAAGCCACATCAGTGACTGTTCCTCTTGTTTCCTGCTACAGCTGATGGACTGGTGACACAAAAAATCTCTGTTCTGCCATGTTTGCAGCCAGGATTTATTGACAAAGTGCACTGTTTAAAAAAACCTCCCAAAAATCCACAAAAAGCCCTAAATGAAACAAATAAAACAACAAAAAGCTCAGACCACTGATCAGACATCTTTTGGCAGCACTGTAAAAATGGAAGGTACATAAAAACAGGAAGCCAAAGATTTTTGTATCAAGTTTTAAGAAAGAATCTACTTTTCCTTGGAAATAAGATACTGAGTGATTTAGGGAACAGGAAGCATGATGCTGTTGTACTGTCACCACAAGTTCAGGTTCCTCCAACATTAAAGACTCCCTAAATGTATATTAAGACACATTTCTTGTAAAAAAGGGGTTTACAATCTACTTTGGCAGCAGGACATGGGATTTTTCAGGGAAGTCAAAATGTGCTCTTCTTCAATGGAATTCTCTTACACCACTTTCTGTACACAAAGTTAATATCTGTCAGCATTTATCACTATAAACATTTGGCTGAGTCAACCCAGAAGGAAATACGGTGAATAGATATTATGGGGAATTATTTATTGTAACATGGTGAGCTAGAATGAATACAAGATCTAGAATATTAAAAAAAAAACCAAAAAAAACAAACCCAGACATTCATAGCAAAACCACTTCTAGTCCTAGAAGAGTTTGCTTTGGGAACTTATGGCTACACTGAAGGCCTGGTGACCAATACTATAAAAATATGTAAATATTTTTACATATTTAAAAATGTTTAAATGATAATGTTTTCAGAAAAATTCAGTTGCCATTGTTGGTTTTTTCACTATTTTATTCATGTGCTTCTCCCACTTTCCTTTTTGTCAGTTTTTTTTCTTCAACAAGAAATTTTTCCTATCATTTAGTTGGAATGCACATTTGTGCTTTACTAACTGTAGATGCCTGCCACTGATTGCCCACTCACTTCCTGTGTTTCTTCACATGAAAAATTGTGGAACAATTTATTCACAGAAAGGAAAGGGCTGATACTCTTGAGGACAACTACTGGAAAAACTGGAAAAAAAATTGTGCAGCAGTTTGCAAAGTTTTCTTAATCTGCACACACATTTTTACTGCTATTGCAGGGCCAAAGTCCTTTCTGAGCAGGAGAGAATCTCATCCCATACATCTGTGTAGATGAGTCTGAAAGGGGATTTATCCAACAATTCTATGATTCTACCATTCCAAGATGGGTTATTTATCTCCTCACAGTTAATTACAACTCATCTAGCCTGGCTTGTGCTCCTTCAGCACACAAACAGAAGAAACCAGACCCTTTGTGGTCTATATTCAGAATTAAAATCCCACATACCACTGAGATTATTGGAATTTGGATCCTGCACCCTTCTTGCAACAAACCATAATTTATTAATAAGAGCACAAATAGTCTTTAACATGAACTTTTCTCTCAACCTTTTTTCTTCAAATGCAATTTGAATATTTACAATTAGATCCTAAGAAAACCAAAAAATTACATGGAGCATTACATAAAGATTACTTCTCAACAGCACCTAGTTTTGTTTTTTAAGGAATTTAAATTGAATATTGGATCTGTGTCCAATTTAGATTGGATACGGAGTTTGCAGAAAGTGGGTTTTTTTTGCTAAAACCTACCAGAAGACAGCTGGCCAGAAGATAGAATCTATCAGGCAGTCCATTTGAACTAAGAAGCAGTCAATTTTCTATGGTTACTGAGGGTCAAGTGGGGCCACTTTTAATGCTCTGTTACATGAGGAGAAAATGTTAAAGCATTATGTAAAGCTCATACTGAATTACTGTTTATGTTAATGCTACCTGACCTTCCTTCTTTGCTGAAAAGACATGATTGGCCATGTTATCACAAGTTTTGAAGGGGAGGAAAAAAAAGCAGCCAAATGCTGCTGGTGAACCTTGTTGGTTGTTTCAGTTAAAGCTGGGTCTGTTCTCCCCCAGCCATCCTTTTCATCCCTTGCCTGCTGAGCTGACACAGGCTCACAGGCACAGCCAGGACATCTCCAAGGCAGAGCAAAAGTCCATCCATCTCAGCCTTGTCTGAGACAGTGACCAGCACTTTGTGCTGGGGTGTTGGAACCCTGGAAGCTGAGAATTCCAGACTTTCTGTGCTGCCAGGCACTGACCCCCAAGAGAACACTGCATTGACCTGAGGCCCTGGAGAAGCTTCCAAAATGGAATGACAGAACTGGGATTGTGGGTGTGCAGTTTGAATAGAAGTGTGTGATATCACAGGGTGGGAAACTCAGAGTTTAAGGGTTTAGAATACAGTAATAGATATAAAGCAGGATGGAGGGTTTAGGGTGGAGGCTGCTCCTTCTTCTTCACCTTCTTCTCCCTGGGTTTGGGTGATTTTGTCTAATTGGATAAAATAGTTCCCACTGTGGGCACGGGTGGTTGGGCATTGGGTTAAAAGTGAAAATAATTTAGGTGTCATTTCTTAATTTGACAGTTTATCCTTAAAAGGCCTTGTACAAAGAGAGCTACATCTCCATTTTTAGCTTGTTAAAGTACTGTAGAAATCACAGTTTGTGAGACTGTAACAGAGATAAGAACTAATAAACATCTGAGTCTGATCAAGAAATACCATCTCACACATTTAATCCCTACCTTGGCAAAAAAGAAGGAAAGAATCCATTACTGGGGGAGATGATTTATGAAGAATAAAACATGACTGGTATGTCCTTCATTGGACCCTGCTGCTCCCTGGCAACTTGGGGATTAAAACAGCAACTTAGGGGTGAGCGGGATGTTATTAAGGCAGAATTAGCCTGTTCCCAGTGGTCCCCACAGGAATCCTACCTTTAGAGTACTTCCAGACGATGGTAGGAACGGGATAACCCTCGGCAGAGCAGTTGAGAATGACGGCTTTCCCATAGATCCCGTCCTGGTCGCTGGGCTGGACCACAAACCTGGGGGGCACTGTGGGAAGGGAGCAAAGAGAGGCATCAGAATTCCAGCAATTTATTGGCAATTTATTGGGTATCTCAAAATGGCAGAGCAGTCACATGCAGAATTATAACATTTCATAGTGAAAAACAAAGATTAAAACCAGTTTTTTGCTGATCCAGTAACACACTCACTAAGGGTGGTTTTGCCAGATAATTCACTTTCTGTGCACAACCTCGATGTATTTCTTGCCAGTCATGACAAAACCACTTGTCTTTACAGGATACCAAAATAAGTTTATAAGACCTCCCCATGGGAGAGGTTAAAAATGGAGTAATAGATAAATCATATTATTGTGGACAGAAAATAAATGCTTTCTACCAAAGGTAGGTTTGTCAAATGTCTAAGAACAATAGAATTTTTCTGTTTGCTTTTTTATAACAGTAAACTACCAAGCTTTAGAAAAAAAAAATTATTTAATATAAATAACCTTAGCAAATAATGCTTTTATTAGCAATCAAATCACTTAATATTAAAATGAGGGTATTTGAACCATAACTTCTGATGGGACTTTGCCTTCCAACCAGCCAGAGAGAGGTTCAACACAATTTGCTTGCATTAAGTTGATAAGAAATCTTATTCCAGTGCATCAGTGTACACATACTATTAAACTTATCCCAAAGTAGCATAAAACCACTGCAGTGTACCTATTTACACATAAATAAAATAAGAGCTGCTTATCTCAAGAAAAAGCTATACATGTTCCAAATACCGTGAAGAAAACAGCTTGTGATAATGTTAGGTCCAAAAATTTGATATGAAAGACTGATTCTAAATATCCAAGTCTCAGTAAAACCTAAGCATTTGACAAAATCATGAAAAAGAGGCTGAAAGTTGTGAAGACTATGGAAAATCCCATGAAAATTTTGAATATTAAAAGTGTTTAATGGTTGTATTATAGTCAGTTAAAGTCACAGTATTTTGTTGACCCTCTGCTCTTTGGTTCAGAATATGGAAGTGTAAATATCCAAGAAAAAAAGAAGTAAATTAATTGTGGATTTATTCTACATGTTTTTCATTCTGTAATTTCTCACAGGGCCACAGAGAGTTACTGAATATGGGACAGACTTTTTTCTTCACAAATTATTTTTTTTCCCCTTGAGTTCACCAGCACACTGAGTTCTAAGGCAGCACAAGAGAAATCCTAATAGTTCCTTGCTCTCCTCATCCCACTGCAAAATTTGAAGCCTCATGGATTCCCCAGGTCCAGGCAGTGCTGAATTTGTCTGAAAGTAGAAGAAGACAGAACATAGGACCCAAACATCCATCCTTGTTCTGGTCCACCCCTCAGCTGCCTCTCCAGAAGTGCCAGAAATTAAGAAAGAAAGTTTGCTAAAAGGTTTTAGCACAAGAAAATGCAAGGGAGCACAGAGGGGGACCTCAGCACTGTAAATATTTTTCCTGGGGCCTGAAATAGTTATTAATGCCCATGAATATCGGACTAATTATCCATCGAAAAAATCTGTGTGCAGAAACACAGCAGAAGCACCAATGCTCTAATATATGACCCTCAAGTTTTCTTCAGTATAAACACTCTCATAATTCATGCAAATATTAGCTCTCATTGTGCCAGACTGTCCCAAGTTTTCCTGAAGGAGAAACAGGAGCTGGCAGTGTGGGTAAGTGTGGGACAGCTCAGAATTGAAGGTCTGTGGAAATTCTCTCTGCAGGTTCAGAGACCCCTCCTCACAACAGCTTGAGCCTTCCTCCCTGTGCCTTCACAATCCAGACTCCCCTTCAGCTTTCTCTTTCCACATTCATAGATAGAGCTGCTTTATAAAAGGACAACAGTCCTTTAGAGGGCAAATCACCCCCTGTTTTAGGCTGGGTGTGTGTGCCTTCCTTAGCAGACACCTGTCTGTTCAAACCGAGACATCCCCCTAACTGGACCTTTTCCTCACTATGGCCAAAATGCAAAGTTGTTTATTGCCTAACTACAGAAATGCTCTTTGGAACACAGCTACAAGAAATAGAAGGAACCAGCAGTGATAGAGGGAAGAGATACCTCTGTACTAGAAAATATATTTACTGCTGGCAAACACTTTGGCTTTCCAAATGGCTGCCACGCTGAGAAACATTTATTGTAAGTTATGTTAATTCACAATAGGTGAACGTCAAACATGAAATCCCAGCAGCAACAGCTCTGGGCAATCACCCATCCTGTTCTAATTGTCTGCTCAGAGAAAACATTTGCTTCAGTAGCTCCTTTCTCACTGTCCTGTGTTCGTTTCATGCCCAAACACACAATGAGGTATTTTCCAAGGCAGGTAAAAAGCACAGTTAGTTGCACAAATAGATTTGATTTTGTACGACTCGGCATCAGCTTGTTTCACCTCGGTAGCTGTGAGTAAATTTGTGTTTGCATCTTCTTAAAAATCAACTACAAGCTGCTTATCCATAAAGAGGAATAAAAACCCAAAGAATAACATGAACCCACCATTCTTACAGGTAAAACCAATTAACCCACCATTCTTACAAGTAAATTATTACAAAAGATGCAATGGAGTGATTGATAATTACTGTCCTCCTCTACACTGAAGAATGTGAAGAGAAAAATGTCTTTTAAAATCTGTCTCCCAATACAAAATTTCTGCAATTTGTTTTATTTCCCTTCTCTTTGAAAAACATTTATCATATTCTTCATTTGCTTTGGATGACACTGGCAAGAAATGCTGAATTTTCAGGAAATAGTTTTATAGTTTTATGTTTAGTATAAAATAAATGCAATCAATCTTTAAAATACTATTTGCATTAAAGTTGTCTGCTGAAACACAATTTTTGTGTAATCCCATTAGGAAGATATAGAAAAAAAAAGGATGGATGCTAAGTGGAAATATTCTTTGGGATTTTTGATGGAAAGTCTGCCACATTCATCCACATCTTTTAAGAACACACTGAGATATCCATGGTGTGTTGTGCCTTTAACACTGACAAGCACTGAACAAGGCTTTTCATCACATTTATATCACTGTATTTTTGGTAATATGTAAAACCTCAGTTTTTGCTCAGATATTCTTGATATTCTCAATTCTAATTGTTACTTTCAGTAGAGAACAATACTAGAATGGTAACTGCCAAAATTAAATTTTGCTCTGTAGCTCCAGGACCAGGTGTATCATCAGAAATCAGAGAATTTCCTTCTTTGGATCCATAAACAAAAGTTACCAGAAAAAACTCAGCCCATACCCAGTAATAGAATGTCTACTATGTTTAGTAAAGCTTTGCCATCCTTTAGGACTGGTTATAAAAATGCCAACTGCTGCTCTGGTTTTGAAGACAAACCCTTGCCCCTTAGTCTTAAGACTGCCAATAGAAATCTGAAGAGATGCTACAACTAAATAAAAATTACTCATTTAATGAACTTTCAGTTTTTTTCTGTATTGCTGTCTAGGTAAAGCCAGAGGATTTTTCTTCTTATATAAATGATGAAAAATCAAACAGAGCAGACCTTTACATTTACATTTTTTTTTCCTCCTTACTTGCTTGCTTCTCAATTTTATTTCAATTTAATAACTTTTTCTGTGCTATATGCTGCCATAGTTATGAACACAGTGCTGTTAAAAACTTGTTATAGATTTTGATACTTAGATTTAGATGATAAACCTATGCTCACTTTTTCATTATCTTTCAGGAGATCATTAGCCCTTAAAGAAAATATGCTTAGCAAGAATTTAACCAAGGTAATTTGCCTGATATATTTGAGTTAATAGAAAAAAAGTAAACAATTGGTTCCTCCCCTCTTTAGCTGTAAAATGTGAGACTCCTCTACTCCTTTAGAAGTGAAACTCTCTGAAATTGCTCATGAATGTGACTGAACAGTTCTACCTTTATCATCCTCCTTATCTCAGAAGTACAGTTCTTTGAGCCTGTGAAGGAGGGCATTTAAAGTTGCTTTAACAGTGAGTTTCTGGGAGGCTTTCATTCAATGCAGCCCACAGGCCTGTGATGGGAAATGAGCTGTTGAATTATTTAGGGTAAGAGCTGTAAGTTGACAGATGCCAACTCTTTAATGGCTGAACTCAAAGGAGGTAAAAGGTTAAAAAATAAAAGTTAAAAAGAGCTAAAATGCCTAAAAAAGGTATTTTCAGTCAATATTATGGTTAGCAGTCTCAGGTCCTCACTGAGGGCAAACAAAGGATGGAGCAATCAGAACAGGGTTCAGCATGCCAACTCTTTAATGGCTGAACTCAAAGGAGGTAAAAGGTTAAAAAATAAAAGTTAAAAAGAGCTAAAATGCCTAAAAAAGGTATTTTCAGTCAATATTATGGTTAGCAGTCTCAGGTCCTCACTGAGGGCAAACAAAGGATGGAGCAATCAGAACAGGGCTCAGCACCCCCAAATCCTTCTCCCAAGGCTGCTCCATCGTTTCATTCCCAGCCTGGATGGATCCTGGAGATTGCCCTGACCCAGGTGAGCACCAGCACTTGGTGAGGTTCAGCATCCTGAGATCCTTGTGGTGCCACCTCCACTCCCTTGTTTAAACCTGCTCTGTGCACGTGCAAGAATCCCTCCTGACCTGCCAGGGACCAGGTGCCAAACTCACACATTCCTTCCTGGACTTCAGATACACGCAAGCACTTCTGGCTCCCAGAGATCAGTGAATCCCTCTGGAGAGCAATTCTGAAGGCTCCTGACACGAGCTCCTCTGGTGGGCTGCTGGAGTGAGTTAAGAAATAATCTATGGCGCCAGCCTGGAATGCAGTGTTTCATTTTTACATGGAATATTTGTACTTCATGTTTGGATCCCACTGTCAAAATGATGGAGGAAATTTAATCAGCCAAAGCAACCCTTGATGTATTAATGAATGAGATCGTTAAACACTGTACTTTAGCAAAGATGAACAGTTATTAAATGTGGTCATTGGACCTAAGGGGTCGATTTAGCTGGTTTAGTGAAACCATTTGCTCTGCAGTTCAAGAAAAAAGATGTACTTCTGCAAAATGACACCGTGCTTAGTGCTGATCAGGTTTGT